TTCTAATACTTCACCTGTAACCTCTATAAGTTCGCGTAACCTAGAGCCTTTGTTTTAAATAGAAAGGAATCTTGTTTTCCAAAGGTCATGATTCTGTACCCACACTTATACAGCGTCGGATTCAGAACTTATCCTTCTCCTATGCGGGCCCGAAAATCACACGACCGATCGGGTTTATTTATCGAACGGTCGGGTGGTGCAGCCGCAACCAGGGCCCTGGTGCTTGCCAAGCTAACCCGAGCGAGAAACCACACCTTGCCTACAACCGCTAATCTTCAGTAGGCCTAGTGAACTTCGACTGTACAGCAAGCTTGCTATCACCAAACTGATGGACTGCACTTAACAACAAGAGCGTCACAAAAGGTACAAGACAATGTGAAATGACGGAGCATTCACACTATCATACTATCCACATAGCAACATGGCATCTTAAATTCATATTCGGACATCTTAAATTGGAAGAGGTTTTAGACTAACACGAGTCACCTGACCTCATTCGATAAAAATTGCACAATAATTCATTGAGGCTTCCACCTTGTTGTTGGGTTTGGTTAGCAGCTCGAAACCAACGTTCCCCCTGGGAATGCGAACTGCGATTTCAACGGTAGAACGTAAAACATCCCAACCCACTTGAGCAGATTGGAACAGACCAGTGCACTCGCTCAGATGGGCATCAGCTTATAGAGCTGATGCTGATGGTTCAGTTGCAAACATTACGGTCCTACTACGACTACTAATCAGAACATGGATTGCATACGTTACCTTGATTCTGACTATGATCAGTTGATCAGATAGCAAACAGTTGACCGTCAGTTCGCGAGCGTCTACAAAATACGAAAATCCATGCCACGAAGACCCCGGTGACCTTTAGACCAGTAGTGGTAATGGTCGAAAATATGCGATGACGATAGTGATGACCTTTCAGATTGTATGTTGCACTTTTGTTTTCAGTTCATTCAGACAACCCAGATCATGAGGGCCAGGTAGACGTGTGTGTGCGTGTGTGTGTCTGTGTGAACCAGTTCAGAATGAGACGTCACTTGATTCGGGGTCACCTAATGCAAACGATACAACATAACTCAATCCGAATGTTGGCGACCGGGTGACCGCGAACAGAAAACATGATGTGGTAGTCGTTCATTGGATCTGATCGGCCGCAGTCGGGTCGTCGGTTAACGTGAGTATACCCGATCGAACAAAGAAAGAGGAACGCGTGCATATGAATGACAAATCAAGAAGTGTGGTCGACGAGTGGAGAAATAAACGTTCGCTTGTTCATGCGATAAGTACACAATAGCGGCATCGAGCGAATGACCGGCTTAGTTAGCTTGAAATTCAAGATCCCGAGGTGTGATTAGATTTTCATTACAGTGGAGCCAAAACCGGTGACGCAGTGGTTTTTGAGTGGTAAGGTCAACAAATTATCGAATCCTACCACCACCGCCTGACTTTCCCCATTATGTGTGATGGATGGCAGCCCTCTGATTGCCCGCTTTCACCTTGATGAAAATTGTATCATTATGTATTCAATAAAAGGAGAAAAAACAATCGATAGAAGATAAGATTTTGCCAATAAATGTTCGTGAGCCTTTAATAGCAAACGGTGACATCCGCCTGTCTGGGTGAAAGATTACCAGTAGGGGATATTTGGTTATGTGAACTTGAAAAGGATGGAGCCAGTGTGGACTTAAAAATCACAGATCTGTGCTCGACATACCTGGTTTGCATAGTCGCAGTGTAACGATAGCAATGTTTCAAATTACGCAAACATCACCATCACAAATTCGACAATTGATGTTGTTTATCATTTCGAGTATCATTCTTGCATTGAATCACTTCAACAGGAAAGTTCAAATTAACATTGTCTCGCAATCGTTTTACCCCAAGTTTCACATCACTGTGAACTCTGAGATCGTTGGCTCCCGGGGGCGGAATCACATTAACGTCGGATGGGGGAAGACGAAGTGTGTGCTGCTTTAGGATGTGAACATTTTTATTTTTCGGGCCCACCGGCCAATTTTAATTCTTAGTAGGTTGGCATTCAATCCCTGTTAGGTTACGGTTAAAAGGGGTTGAAGCATTCAAGGATTCTCAGTCTTTTTGATCCGGAACGTCCAGTGTAATGTTGTAGATGCAGCATGCGCTCGCGGTTGATAGAGCACCACGTGAACCAGCCAGCCATGAACGGTACAGCGAATTACGTTTGCTAGTCGAAAGTCCACGTTGATTACGCTGATGACACAGACTGACACTCACAAAAGTGTTACTGGCGATAAATCAGTCTTTAATAGATCAATACGGATTACAACAATGATTGCAATGAACAATGTGCTAAATGCCAGTCATTTGAATAACGCATGGATAAAAAAAATAACCCGTATTGTTCCATTCATGGGTATCGTGTGGCGAAGTTTCAGCTCAATTTCATACTTGAAGTAGTGCAGTGAGGTGCAGTGCAGCGCATTGCTGATACCCAATGGATCACTCAGAATGTGTACCGGGAGAGACAAATAGTATATTGCCCGGAGAGAACTGTCAGCATTTAAATATTGCATTAATCTTCCATCCCGCAGTCTGTTAACATTATTTACAAACAACCAATTCCGGAGCAATCCCGTACAGATGCTACAACAGAATAGTGGGCTATAGTGTCAAAGTGTACCGTATTTTTCGGACCATAAGACGCACCGGATTATAAGACGCATAGGAACAAGGTGGCAGCAAACTCAACCAGCGCAATCCAGCGTATAACTTTTTGCTGTTACAACAGTTAGCCACCCCAAAACAAGTCTGTCTAGACAGCATAGAAAGCTGACTATACGAGGTTTAAGACCAGCAGCGATTATGCTTCGACAATCAAGGGAAGTGGCTTCGTCGCTTACCAAAGTCGTAATAAAATATTTTGACAGATTTTTCAGCGCAGTGTGAACATACACTGTTCATACATAAGGCGCACCGGAATATAAGGCGCATTGCCGATTTTTTTACAAATATAGGGATTTTCTGTGCGCCTTATAGTCCGAAAAATACGGTACACTACCTGGTGCACTCTTCCATCGTACACAATTTGTACTCCAGCCAGTGATTCGTGATATTCACGGCACCAAAATAAGAAACGATTCAACAGTCTCTGAGTGAATGAATGTGAATGGTGTTTAATTGATCTGCACTCGTGTCCGAAACCTATGGGATTAAATAAGTTCTAGTTTCGTGTGTTTACCCATAATCAAATCATGATTGCTTGTGTTGCTCAACAGAGATAAATACCATTATTCGAGTTGCACACAAAGAATGGAAATCGATAATAACTGGTTCTGGGCAGAGACGAGAAAACGCGCGAGATATGGAACGGAATGAACAAGCTGGACATTGGTCAGACCTATCACAGATTGTTTCCTTTTTGCAACCCTTCCCCTNCCCTCCCCCCCCCCCAAATGTGAACTACTCTAGACGTTTTGTGTGCGAGTGGGGAAGGGGTGGATAAAATCAATTTCTTTCGAACTTCTATTTGCTTCAAACTGGTCTACACAGTATCAAACACTGACCGGTCACCAGCATCGGCTACAAGTAACTGAATCAAACGAAACAAGCCCATTAAACTGATGCGTTTCGTTTCATTGCTTTAATTTTATTAGGCGATCAGCTCTATTAGGCGGGATTAATCCGTCAAACGATGATCCCTGGAGAAGGTGATACAGAGTGAGACCCAGTTCCAGTTTCAACACCGCAACAAATTGTTAGTTGTGCATTGCAGTGTCATTGTGCTCACTCCGACATGGTGATGGAGGGATGAGCTCAAACAGGATCGAATGTTGTAAACGGCTGCGTTGTCAAATTGGTAACAGCCTCGTGATCGAAGCACCTCAGTATCCTCATATGAATCACAGTCAGAACAAGCATGGAGGTC